TCTTACGGTCATTCTCATGCAAGTGAATGGGAGGTTTGAATGGTCAAGGATTAAGGAGTTTCCCATGGTAAAATGCACTAAGTGAGTCAAAAGACCCATAGTGTCATACCTGAACTATGTTCTAGCGGTGAACGAAAGTCAAGTACAGGCTGATTCTTTAGGATCTAACAAGTGAATTAGAGGTGCAGCATGGCCGCCAGATCAGTTTTGAAGTGTAGCCTATTAGACAAGTTGATGTGGGATTATAACCTTACCCATAATAGTAGCACTTGTGCTTAAAGTCCTTGTGCTTCTTGATTTAAAGTCTAGTGGAAGTGCTCCGGGTACCTTTCAAAGGTGCTGTGGGGTGCCACACGAAGTTAGCACTGCTAGGTGTGAAAATGTAATTCACAAATAAGCCAAGAGATTCTGCCCTGATGTGGTCTTTTTGAGCTCTTTCCAACAGAAGAATTACTCGATTTTTTCCAACAGGAGATAACTAAGATCTGACATTTCTGAAGGGTGCCTTGAAACTCTGTAGGGGTGTCTTTTCATTAAAAAAGTAGAGAACTGGTCTAGCCAATTCCAAACAGTATGTGGAAAAACATCATTTATGCTCTCTGCTTCCCTTGCACTAGTTGGTGCTGGATTATATACAACAGCAAAACACCATCTGGCCCTCGAGGCACCATCGTCCAGAGAGTTTTAAGTGTCTTGGGGAAGACTGAGGTGAGTGCATAATAGTATCTGAGCTCCTTTACTAGGGTTTATCTAAACATGACAGTGTTTCAAGCAGAATGGTTGTTCTGGACTGTCTCAATGTATGGGTATTACTTTTCAAGGAAAAGATGCATCTTATTTTGGTTCAGCTCAATCGGCCTCTAAAGTAGATAAAAGAACTTTTAAAAAAATTAGCTTTATTCTAAAATAAGTGTGCTGACAGGTGGAGTTATGGACTTACTCGGGGATGCCCAAGGCAGAATGTGTAGGCAAGCTTTTATTTCAGAGGCTAAGGACAGCAGGTACACTTTGTGTAAGGTGACCACTCCGTATGCTTCCAGGAATCCTGATGAGTGCACTTTTCATAACATGAAAAATAAGTAAAACTATTCGCACTGTAGTCTCATTCTCACAGCTATGGGACAGATTCATCCTAAGTGTAACTCTGACTCAGTGGGGTTACACCAGTACTGGACTTGTTTTAATGGGTCAAAACTATTCTTTCTCTGGCTTCCACAGGAAGATATTTCAAAAGAGCCAAACAATATCTCTCCTGTTCCACTGTGAATATCTGGTTTACTTCTTTATCCCTTAATGGAATGGTATCTTTGATTTCAATTTAAAATGGCATGTCATCATTTGAGGACATGCTGTGCAGTTTTAATGGATGTATACTACTTCGGTGCATTAGGGAAAAGCCACATGTTTGGAAAAAGACCAACAGGGATTGAGAAGGAGAATTCTGTTCCATATTTCCACTGGAAATTCAAATGTGGATGCATTTTGTCAAGCACACCACTTAGGTGAATTCTGTGTCAGGTCTCCATAGTACCTCATTGTGCACAATTTCATTCTCTTTAGGGCTACCTAAAATCGATTATTTTCAAGATGGATTGATTTAAGTTATAGCCTAATAACTAGCTCCACAGCTATGAGCAATTAAACTGTGAGATATTTTAGGACTCTGATCATATTTTGCCTTTAAGGTGACTAAGCTGGCATTTGATGACTAAGCTGGCATTTGCCTCCAACTTATGTGTCTACTACCTCAGAAGCAACCTTGTTTCTTACATACTTTAGAAAAATTATTCTATTCCATAGTGCTCTCATTCTGGCATGTGCAGCTGGCAGTTGTCGCACCTCTAGAGGGCTATACTGTTCTGCTGAGTCCAATCTGATCCTACTCGGTGAAATTCTCCCAGTGGGCTGAGGCATGGGCAGCCTAATGTACCTGTAGCCTATCACAATTAGTCTGACCTGCTAAGGGAGAGGTGCCCTGATCAGATTCAGCTCACTCAGGGGAGGTACCTACCCATGCCCCTTACTGACAGACGACTGCATTGACTTCACTATAAATAAAAGGAGAAAATCGGCGGTGGTGGGGCTGCCCATCTTTTGCCTACTGATGGTTAAAGCATTGCCCCAGGAAGTGGGAAATAAGTTCTAGTCCCACCCCACACATCTGGATGGGTATGAACTCGCATAGCCTATGCCACAAAACAGCATCCTGACAAGTAGGCATGGCCTTGGCAAGGTTGAAAGCACCTCCAGCCTTCTTATTGATCTGGACCACTGGGTAAAAAGGAATACAAAAGTCCTGGGGTAAAAGGTAAAGTTCTGGGCGCCACACTTCAAGAAGGATGCGGAGAAGATTGAGAGAGTCCAGAGAAGAGCTGCTCGTATGATTGGAGGCCTGAAGACCAAGCCATACTTGTGAGGAAAGGCTGACAAATATGGGACTGTTCAGCCTAGAAAAGAGAAGACTTTGGGGGGATTTGGTGGCAGCTTACAAATGTATCAGGGATGATCATCAGGGGCTAGGCAAACAACTATTCACCAAAGTGCCCCAGGGGAAAACCAGGAGCATAAACTCCTAGAAGAAAGTTTCAGGCTGGATATAAAGGAAAACTTCTTCCTGGTTCGTGTGACCAGACTCTGGAACAGACTTCTAGTGGGTGTGGTGCAGGCACTTACCCTGGAGATCTTCAAAAGGAGACTGGATGCACACCTTGCTGGGGTTATTTGACCCCAGCAGTCTTTCCTGCCCAGAGCAGGGGGGCTGGACCCAATAATCTCACGAGGTCCCTTCCAGCCCTAAACTTCTGTGAATCTGTAAGGTGACCAGGCATCCTGTTTTCATTAGGACAGTCCCATTTTAAACGCCTGTCCCAGGGATCCCATCAGTGCATTAAAATGAAGTTTTTTTGCCAGGATGGGTTTAAAATGCCGATTTCCCGATGTAAACGGAACTGCTCCCTGCCCCTGCTCTCTCCCCCACCCCCTCCCTTCCATTTAGCTAGGACTGGAGTTTGGAGGCAGCTGAGAAGACCCGTGAGCTGGGAGGGAGTGTAGTGTCCTGTTTTGTGGGCAGAAAAATATGGTCACCCTACCAGAAGGAGGGCATATAAATGGGACTATGACTCTGTAGCCTAGTGCTGTGGGCATACAGCACAAAGTGGAATGCCTTGGCCCGTGCTTCCGATGCTGGCTATTCTTCTCTTTTCATCCAACAAATGTTTAATACAAAATGCATAAGGAGCTTTTCAGCCTAACATAGACTTGCATAAGGAATTCTAGCTGCTGTACAGGGCAGAAAAGGATCATATTTATTAACATGGATGCTTAAAAGCTAAATGCCACTTCAAGGTAAACTAGGGTTTGAAGATAAGTACCCTCAACTTCCGTTAGATTCATTACTGTTTGAGGTGCTCCCTGCTCAGTGAATTTTTCACAAGACTGAGCTGTATTTTCCATACTGACAAGAAGTCTCTGTGGGTGCATCTACGCATGCACTTTACTGCAGAGCTGACTAATTAGCTCCGCAGGAAAGTATCACCATCTACGTATACACCCGTATTAGGGTGCAGTAAATTAATTAACTCCACTTCAGAATAATAATGTCTGGAGCAAATACTATCCTATGGTGGAGTCATTTAGTGCACCAAAACTCGCATGTAGATGGTGACTGGGGCTGGCTGGGGCACAAGGGTACCATAGTGCAGGGGCTGCCTGCTGGCTAGCCCTGCACTGTAGCACCCTTGTACCCCAGCCAGCCCCTCCTTCACCTGACTACTGCTTGGGGCTGACCCTCCCAGACACCCTGCCGTCCTAGGGCTATTCCATCCTGACTCAAATTGCTGTATTCCCAGGCACATGTGCAAATGTTGCACCCGGGAGCACCTGACTCCAGGGTGAACTGCACCAGAGTTTATTCAGTCGGGGTAACTGAACATGTAGATAAACCCTGCGTGTCAACTTTGCAATACAAACAGGTTTTTTTTAAAGTACATCCCATTAAAACACCATTCTGTATAGAATTTCATTTTCAAGGGAGCATTTCCATGTGTTCTGGTTTTTCACTGCTGCAGTTTGTCAGATAAAAATTTAGATTTGAGTCAAACTCTAGCCAAGTTGATGTCCTTCAGTTTATCCCAGTTAAGTAAATGGGCATATGTAGGTAGTTATGGAAATGTATAGGTGGTGATGACAGCTTGACTAGGAGTGCAAAATGTACAATAAAGCAATCGGTTCTAAAAATTTCAGCAAGAGATCTTTAATATTTCCTGAAGTACTAGCATCTGGAAAATGAAACAGTTCTCCACAGAAAAAAAAGTTTTTAAAATATTAGATTTTGTGAGGGAAGATTATAAAATAATATGGCTTTAGGGCTATATCACGTTTGATTGTACATAAGCCAGACAACCATAAACTTTATTACTGTTTTTCTATCTTTCTGTCTACTTTTCATGTATAGCTACAATTTCAAAGACCAAAATACAAATCTGGTAGCAATTTTCAGCTTTTATCATGAAGCGGACCACTGAAAAATAGAGATATTTAGAATTATTTAAAATTGCTCCATGAACCTCTGATTTATAGAAGCTAATTATTTCATACAGCAAAAGCAAAAATTCTATTTTAAGTGGCTGGGCTCCTGCAGGAGTTCAATGTGTAGATGAGTGTTGTCAGTGACAGTTCCATGTGTTGCTATTTACAGAATTAGGCCATTTATTTGTTAATAAAGCTAACTGGTCTATAACAGGTTGGTTTTTTTTCTTGTCGTGTTTAAAATTTATCTAAAATTAAAGATATTAAACAGCCTTTCTTTTCTTGCTTGCTTTCTTTTTTTTAAAATTGGAATTACACATAACTTCCATAAAGCAAGTGGTCACTGGTAAACAGATGATGTTTGTTAATAAAGCATCATCAGAGTTATTTTGCTGTTTTAAGTGAAAGGGTAAATTCTAGTATCACTGTTGTAATGCTTGCATAGGATATTTTTAATTGTAGGATCATAGGAATGTGGGGCTGGAAGGGACCTCACAAGGTCATCCAGTGCAGCCCCTTGCTCAAGGCAGGATTATCCATGACTAAACCATACCAGCCACGTGTCTGTTCAACCTGCTTTTGATAGTATCTGTTTATTTTCCCATCTAAGTATAGTATTTCTAACGTATGAATAATCTTTAAAAATCTCATTGGTATTTTTCATGAAAAAAAATCAAACATGGGACGAGAAGGAAATTTATGGATCAGCTAGTCCAGTCTCCTCTAAGTACAAACACCATATAATTCCTTTTAGAAACTGACCAAGCTGCCTCTTAAAATGCGTTAGGCTTTTTGGTCCAGTACTATTAGAAGGATATCCTAGAATTTCATTCCTTTGCCTGATTCCTTTTAATTTACAGCGTACATTTGTTCCTGACCAGTTTATTCCTCTTTGTTCTTATTCCAGCCTTACTTTATAACTTAAGTAGTTCTTGCTACCTGATGTCTATTCATGATATATTTATAGGAACTCTTGATAGGAACAGTCATATTTCCTCCAAGCCTTCAGTTTGCTAGGCTTAACAAGTCAATCTCTTATAGATCCCTCTTGTGGGATAGACTCTTCGTTCTGCTACTTGTTTTAGTAGCTTTCTTTACACCTGTTCAGTCTGAAGTACTTTTTCTAGTGAATATGGGTGACCAAAAGTTCTGTTCAGTGATCCAGTGTCATAAATAATTATATCTCTCTACTGGAAATAGCTAAGTTGATTCATCCTAGGTTCATACTCGCCTTTTTCATAATTGTTGGAAACTCTAGTTAGTCTCAGATAAAGCAATAACCACAAGTCTTCCTCCTATGTTTCAAGCCAATGTGTTTACAGTTTATAGCAAAAATACTTGTTAGTAGACCCAAATGCGTGATCTGGCATTATGTCCCACTAAATTTACCTCTATCCACAACTTTAAACTGTTCCATTAATCAGAATCTTTGAATTGTTTCTATATGACATTCCCAATTTCCTTGGTTTTGACAATACCTCCCAACTTTGTGTCATCAGCAAATATTATCATCATATCTTACTTTTTGTAGTAAGGATATAAATGACATTATTATATAAAAAAAATTATTTTTTTATGAATTCCATCGGTTGTTCTCCACAGTTCTCCTTTCAGTAAAAGCCCTTGGCATCTCAACTTTTGCTAACTATATCATTTTTTTCTCCAGTTTCACTAACAGTTTCCTGTGTCAACCATAGAAAATGCTTGCTCGCTTCCTTCCTTCCTAGTTTCATAGTTGTTAGGGGCTGGAGAGGGACATTGGCTTTATCTGCCACCCTTCCCAACAGAGGCTTAGGGTGGCTTATAAAAAGAGAACAGAATACCTTCTAAAACAGGGGAATGAACAAAAGAACAAGATAATATAAAGGGAAACTAAGATGTGATACATCTAAAGCTTCAAGTTCAAAATGATGTTTCCAATACTTGATGCAATGGCACGATTCAGCTGCTTTCAGTCAAATTAATCACATATCTCAGAAAAGAAGCTGCTCTACATATATAACTCCCTTCTCTATCTGGCTTCTCCACATTGGTTTGTGCAACCCATACTTCAAAGAGGGTTGTCCCAAATAATAGAGGCATTACAGTATAAAAAAGGATGACACTAGTAAATTTGTTAAATTTTTCCAAACTTGTCAGGCTGCAAAAATTGTGGGAATTAGAGAATTAAAAAGATGGTGATATAGTTAGCCAAAAAATATTGATAAAGGAAGGGGAAACGTAAGTGCCTGTTCAATTTCCACCCATACAGGAGAGACTTCTCAGTTATCAGTTATACAGGACATCGCCCGTCTTACTAAGAAGGCCTTGTGATATAGCCAAAGGTTTGGAAAATGAAAGCCACCCCTTTCAACTGGTAGTTGCACCTTTTTCAATGAAAGTGAAGCCCTTTTATCCTCTTCCTATAGAAACCTGCTAAACGTTTGGTTGATTTTTATCAAAATAGGATTGTGGGATTACAAATAGTAGCTTACATAATAGATAAATTAGTTGAGGTTATGCATTCATTTTTTAAATATTATCATGTCCCCACAAGGATTTTTCCAGACTGCTCCACATATTCAGATCCTGTAATGCAATACTGAAAATCTGAAAGTTTTGCTGGACAATAATGTTAATGTTCTTAGATATTTTAATACTCAGCTGGCATTTATGGAGAGAGTCACATGTAACTAAATTATCACTCCATGTACACTTTTACTTTTCCTCTTCTGTCCTCCCCATTTTTTATCCTTCCTTCCCTTCTTGCCCTTTCTTTTTTCCCTTTCTCTCTCTCTCTTCCCATTTAATGATTATTGCTTATGACAGTCATGTAAGTAGTGCAAGTTGATATCTGTAGTAGATATAAATTTCTGATTTTTGTTGCTTTTAAAAATCCATATTTTTTTAATGGACTAGAATATCAGCATAAAACAGAAACCCCTGAAGTCTGATGAGATTAGACCTACAGCATTTTTCTTGTCTAAAAATTAGATAACTTATCAAAGAAAGATGTAAGATTAGTTTAACATTATCTTTTTTTGGTAAATATCTGTTATATTTTATCATGCTTTTCATTTACCTCCGTGTTTTTAATTTTCTTTCCTACAGATTCATTGTAAAACAGTTCATAGTGATACCTAACTAATGTGTCTGTGTTTGCTTTCTTCAGCTTCCTTAAATATAGGAACTAGTGCCCCTGATTTTATAGATTTATTAAAAATCTTGCTGCCACCCTAGTGGTTTCTTGTGCCGGTTCTTTTAGTATTCTGGGACAGAGCTGATCTGGGCTTTTCAACTGGAATGCACTAATTTTGTTTCCACCTCAGATAAGATTATTTCCAGATCTGTAAATTCATTCTGATTAGTAATCCTGCCAATATCTCCATGTTGTATACCAAATTTTACTAAGAAAATGTTTTCAGCTATACCTAGATTATTTTTAATCTTGATTCCAAGTTTATTGCATAGTAGTTCTGCTTCCTCTCTTATTCTCATTTTATTTACATGATTTCTTTTCTAATATTATTTTTCAAATTCTACCTCAGTATGACTTCTGGCAAATTTTACATCTCTAGACACTATTGTTTTCTTTGCTGTCCAGTCCTTCTTTTCCAGTCCTTAGTGGGTCTCCACTTAGGATTGCTATCCTTATTTGAGGTGGTTGGTCTTTCAGGAAGAACTGTAGCCCTGTCCAACATGTTCTTTTTCCAGATCTTTCAGTATCTTGAAGGAGTGGCCTATAATCATCCACCATAACATCATGGAGAATAAAGTTTGAATTCATTTTAGTATTTTGGAAAGACACAGGTGTCCTTATCTGGAGTTAATATCAGCTGAACATCTTAGATCAAGAAAAGCTTTCTAAGGGAAGGTAAAAGAAGCACACACTCTGTTTTAGGGCTTGGCCAGCTATGCAGATTAATTTGGTTTCCCTGTCTCCATGCAGGAGTTATCTAGTTACAGGGTCTGCTTGGTGATGATGGACTAATGGACTAGAGCTAACCTTTTTAAAGAGACATTCAGTGCACCACAAGCTCTGTTCAAACAAGTTTACCAAATCAATTCTGAACTAAGCTTATCAATATTATATTTAGATTGAAGCATCCTCTTTATAAGGATGGAATAAGAAGCATTTAGCTGTTCATCATTAATGAAGGCACATTGCTTGTTCTTTTTATTTGCAAAAGCAACAAAAAAAGGATGCCTCTTCTGAAGTGGTATTGGTCATCAGTGAGCATAAACATGCAGCTGCTGTATGACTGAGTGATAAAAAACTGTTGGCCAATTCATTGGAGGTGACATGTTTATACTCAAGGCCAAGTATCATAAAAATAAATGCTTGGCTCTGCATTTCAGCTATATGAGACACACCACCAAACGCATAGTACTGACTGGAACTAAATGACTCTTATGTATAGTTTTGGTTAGCTGAAGTCATAGACTATATAAAAGAGAAATATGAGACAGAAGACACAATTCCAGTTGTCATAATCTCTAACCTCACAGATTTTATAAGACAAATGGCTTCAAATAGTCTAAGGCCAAGGGGGAAGTTCACAACATTTTATAAAGCTTGCTTGGAAATTGCCAAGATAGATGGCATATTCTTGTCTCATGCATCATTTGTAAGGACTCTTAGAGAGAGTCTGTAAGATTTAATAGTATATTCCCCCCAGCAGAATGATTTAACCTAGCTGAACACTACTTGAGGGCTCTATATGGACAGAGAAAGATTTCATTATTACTATTATTTACTATTTATATAATAATAGTGCTTAGGTAACCAGGATGGGATCACAATTCAGGGAACAGAGGGGACAACACAATTCCATATAAACATATAAGAAAATGTAACCTTTCTCAGAGTAGTTTACTATCTACATAAAGGAAGGTAATGTGAAAAAGAAATGGAAGTAAGGGTAGAAAATATGTGAAGACAAGAGTGAAAGGGATAAGTAGTTGTGCAGATTTGTCATTTCCACAATTACATACTCGAATCAAGTGCATGCAATAGTACTTGACAAGACATAAAGACAAAAGAGTAAGAAGTGCCATCTCTGACAAGGGCAAGCAGGTTTTAGTGAGTCTGCTTCTCTACATTTTTTCTGATGCAGATCAAATATTTTCAAGGTTAAGTAAAATGGATTGTGATGCTCTTCACTTTAGTAAGATAATTTTACTAATCCTGTTAATAACTGATGATAATTTCAATGGATGTTTCAAATTTACCACAATAGTTTTCTAGGGAACTTTTTTTTAAACATGTGTGCCAAAATTTAGGAGGTCAGTGATAAAATCCCAGATTTTGTTTCAAATATTTTGAAATGGACAGACAGAGGTAGACAGCATGGTTAGGTATAGTTTAGAATGTTTTTCCCTCTCTCCAGCACACGTCTTTTCAATGACACGCGCTTTTACCACTGTTTCTTTGATGTAATCACCACAGATTTATCACAATGATTTATCCTTTTTAGTTGGTTGGAATGGCATACTACCCAGGAGAAGATAAAGAGTAAAGCTGCCAAAATCTACTCATGATTCACTTAAATTAACTTATTTTGACTTGGTTAAAGATGAGGGCTTAAGTTTACTGGAAGGAATGTTTAAAG